CCGCAAAGGTGCCTGCATAAATCGAGGCAATGGGAGGCCACTTTCACCATCGCTGCAGAAAAGCACACTTGCTCACTGTACTCCACAGAGCTTTAGCTGAACAAGATGCACCCCAGCTGTTCAACTGAGAGTTATCAGTCCTTAAGTGGAGCTTCTTATATAAGTGGAGGGTCTCACTGCAGACTAAACAAGTCCAGTAAAAAATATCTTCAGGAACAAATGACTCCAGTCATAGGGGACTCTAGTGGTGAGCCATGATCTCTTTTTTAAATTTTATCCACTCTTGTCTCCATTAGAATTCTCAAACTTTAATGGATTATCTTAAAATTCAGATTCCTACATTCCACCCTCAGTAATTTATATTCAACAGATCCCATATGACCAACCATGTGGTTCAAATCCTCAATCCAGTGGCTTGGAAGACATGCTGGGCAGATGCATATGTATGCTCCAAATCTCAACAAGTTAGAGAGATGGAGGAGAAGGGATTGCAGTGTAGCCATGCTCCACTACCGGTTCATTTCCCCTTTCCCTGTTTCTGTCTCTCTCTGGCAAGTGCATGTGCCCCCTAGCAATAAAAAAAAAAAAAAAAAAAAAAAAAACGGGGAGGGGATCAGATCCCATCCCATGTGGCCAATCGTGTAGTTTGAATCCCTTCTGTTTCTCCACCATGCTGGGATTTGGGGCATGCACACACACAAACCTAGGATGTTTTTCAGTCCTTAGGGGCTGGGACTCAACCATACGGATCTGGCTTCCTTAACCACCAGGCCACAGGGCCAGCCTCAAATGTGTGAATTTTACTGTATGTAAATGATAGGTCAATAAAGTATTTGAAAAGCTATCATGTCTCAAAAAATAAAATTAATGCTTGATTTCTAGAAACATTCTGTTTACACATCACATAGGATTATGTCTACATGAGCATTTGTGTAAAGATGACTGCCCACTTCATTCATGCATCAGATATTAGGCACTTAACATAGGCCAGCAACAAAGCAATCTTTTTTTTTTTTTTTTTGTATAGAACGTATACTCTCACTTTATACAAGAAATTAGACTAGGGTCAGACATTTGTGAAGAGCACTGGGAAGAAAACTGCAGGGAATGGCCCAGACTTTAGGAAACTCAGTTTTTAGGAAATTCCTGCATGCTTGCTCCAGCCGCTCCAGTCCAACCAGATGGATGGAGGGAAATACAACACACACACACCCTCCCTCCTTCCCTCCACAGTAAGAAGCAAACATCTGGTGACTAAACACAAGTCTCACAGGCTCTAGGACCCCAAGGCTCCTCAGAAATTACCACGGAGCCATCAGGTCAAGCCTCAAGGAGCTGCCCCTACTTGTCAGCGGCACCACAGCCACCTTGGAGTGCCCCAGGTCAAGAGGAAACTCCAGGGCAAAGCTGTGGCTTGACCTCAGGAATCAGTAGCACTCTGAATGTATGTGACCTGGGACCTTTGAAACACGTCCCCAAAAGAGGACTATGATTCTCAAAGGCCTCCAGTAGAAACCACTATGAACTAGCAGGGACTGGAGTTCTAGTCCCTGCTCTGCCAGTTGACTCATAAGGGCCACTTTGGGCCCTAAGTTTATGTCTCTGTAAACCGTTGGCCTGGATGAGCAATTACCCATTATTTGGCTTAGGATCCCATTCTTTGAATGAAAACCCTTGCAAAGTCCCAACATAGGGAGAAATGGAGCGTGTCTATGATTGAAAAGGGAATTCAAGGCACATGCCTTCTTTCTCCCCCCGGCTCTATCTTAGAACCCCTAATGATCTATTTTTTTTTTTTTTTTTTTGGAGAGGTTTTCGCTATAAGGTGCGTGCGCTTGCCAGACAGAGAGAGACAGAGACAGAAAGCGAGAAATCACCCCCAAGAGGGGATGGTCACGCCACAATCCCTTCTCCTCCATTCTCCTAACGGGATCTTGGGCACGCACGCACACGCACCTGGCGTGTGTTTTAAGCCACTGGGTCCAAACAGAACCGCGGTCGACCACGTGGGAGTCCAGCAACATAGCCATTATGCTAACTGCTGGTTCCCAAACCCCTAATGATCTTGAGAGCTGTTCTAAAACTACTAGTCCTACTAGGCTTCCAGTCCATGTGGCTGATCCAACCCGACACCATGACCTCAGAGCAACTATGTCAACTGGAGACCGAACATGACCTGACTCAGAGAATCCTAATGTGCAATCCCTCTGATAGATGCCCCAACCAGAGAGCCCAAATTCCTTCTGAGAACAGCCTGCCTAACCACCCAACTCAACTTTACCATGGCATTGACTTTTTAAGAAAGCTCTTAATCCCTGCCATTCAATTCTGCCTGTGAATTCAAAAACACCAAAAAGTCAGCTCCAGATGTTAAGGGATAGGGATACATCAGGGAGAGTAAAGTCCATTCCTGGATGATGAAGGCTTAGGTATTTCTCCTTGACTCTTGACACATGGTGCCTGTCAGCATTCTTGACATTACAGTGTTTAAGACAATGTGCTATGCATGTCACATGGACCACATCTAATCATCACCCTGTCAGGTGGGCATTACTGCCACCCCATTATGCAGCTAAGGAAAACCGAGACTCTGGGTTACCGAGGAACAGAGCCAGAGCTCACGGCACAGGCTGTGGATGTTAGGACAGTTTGTCTGAGCCTCGTTTCCTCATCTCCAAAATAGAGATAATACAGTAATGCTCTCATAGGCCACTGGGAGGAAGAAATAAGACAGTCCTTAGCTTAGCACCTGACACATGGGAGCTCAGAAAAGGTTGGCTCAAGTTCTTCAGTTCTAGACACATCTAGTATCGCAGACACCAGTCTTCTACAGAAAATAGAATTTATTATCCTATTTAAGGTGAACACAAATAAATGTTCCAGAAATGTTTTACATCCATCATCAGTAGACTGAATATATTTAACAATCAGTCTCCCCCGAAAATACTTTGTTCCAGAGCACAGGGAGCTTGCAGGCCCTTTCTGTTTCAACACAGGAATTCACATTGACTAGGCACAGCTTGTAGTGGGTTTGTTCCCTGGTTCAACTGCTTCTACCCCATGGACCCTCCTCACAAGGACAACAGCAAACCAATGGGATTCACAGTAACAGGAGGGAAGGACTTGGCCATGGGACCTTCATAAGAACCCCAAGTTGTGTTTCAAATAACATAGGCCAGCAACAAAGCAATTTTTTTTTTTTTTTTTTGTATAGAACGTATACTCTCACTTTATACAAGAAATTAGACTAGGGTCAGACATTTGTGAAGAGCACTGGGAAGAAAACTGCAGGGAATGGCCCAGACTTTAGGAAACTCAGTTTTTAGGAAATTCCTGCATGCTTGCTCCAGCCGCTCCAGTCCAACCAGATGGATGGAGGGAAATACAACACACACACACCCTCCCTCCTTCCCTCCACAGTAAGAAGCAAACATCTGGTGACTAAACACAAGTCTCACAGGCTCTAGGACCCCAAGGCTCCTCAGAAATTACCACGGAGCCATCAGGTCAAGCCTCAAGGAGCTGCCCCTACTTGTCAGCGGCACCACAGCCACCTTGGAGTGCCCCAGGTCAAGAGGAAACTCCAGGGCAAAGCTGTGGCTTGACCTCAGGAATCAGTAGCACTCTGAATGTATGTGACCTGGGACCTTTGAAACACGTCCCCAAAAGAGGACTATGATTCTCAAAGGCCTCCAGTAGAAACCACTATGAACTAGCAGGGACTGGAGTTCTAGTCCCTGCTCTGCCATGGAAAACCTTCCAGCTTTTCCCTATTCTGTATAATGTTAGCTGTAGGTTTTTCATAGATGGCCTTTATTGTGTTGAGAAATGATCCTTCTTTACTAATCTTACTGAGGGTCTTAATCATGAAAGGATGCTGAATTTTATCAAATGCTCTCTCTTCAATTGAAATGATCATATATTTAAAAAAATCTTTCTGTTAATATGGTGTATTACATTTATGGTCTTTTTTTTTTTTTTTTGAGAGGTTTTCGCTATAAGGTGCGTGCGCTTGCCAGACAGAGAGAGACAGAGACAGAAAGCGAGAAATCACCCCCAAGAGGGGATGGTCACGCCACAATCCCTTCTCCTCCATTCTCCTAACGGGATCTTGGGCACGCACGCACACGCACCTGGCGTGTGTTTTAAGCCACTGGGTCCAAACAGAACCGCGGTCGACCACGTGGGAGTCCAGCAACATAGCCATTATGCTAACTGCTGGTTCCCAAACCCCTAATGATCTTGAGAGCTGTTCTAAAACTACTAGTCCTACTAGGCTTCCAGTCCATGTGGCTGATCCAACCCGACACCATGACCTCAGAGCAACTATGTCAACTGGAGACCGAACATGACCTGACTCAGAGAATCCTAATGTGCAATCCCTCTGATAGATGCCCCAACCAGAGAGCCCAAATTCCTTCTGAGAACAGCCTGCCTAACCACCCAACTCAACTTTACCATGGCATTGACTGTTTAAGAAAGCTCTTAATCCCTGCCATTCAATTCTGCCTGTGAATTCAAAAACACCAAAAAGTCAGCTCCAGATGTTAAGGGATAGGGATACATCAGGGAGAGTAAAGTCCATTCCTGGATGATGAAGGCTTAGGTATTTCTCCTTGACTCTTGACACATGGTGCCTGTCAGCATTCTTGACATTACAGTGTTTAAGACAATGTGCTATGCATGTCACATGGACCACATCTAATCATCACCCTGTCAGGTGGGCATTACTGCCACCCCATTATGCAGCTAAGGAAAACCGAGACTCTGGGTTACCGAGGAACAGAGCCAGAGCTCACGGCACAGGCTGTGGATGTTAGGACAGTTTGTCTGAGCCTCGTTTCCTCATCTCCAAAATAGAGATAATACAGTAATGCTCTCATAGGCCACTGGGAGGAAGAAATAAGACAGTCCTTAGCTTAGCACCTGACACATGGGAGCTCAGAAAAGGTTGGCTCAAGTTCTTCAGTTCTAGACACATCTAGTATCGCAGACACCAGTCTTCTACAGAAAATAGAATTTATTATCCTATTTAAGGTGAACACAAATAAATGTTCCAGAAATGTTTTACATCCATCATCAGTAGACTGAATATATTTAACAATCAGTCTCCCCCGAAAATACTTTGTTCCAGAGCACAGGGAGCTTGCAGGCCCTTTCTGTTTCAACACAGGAATTCACATTGACTAGGCACAGCTTGTAGTGGGTTTGTTCCCTGGTTCAACTGCTTCTACCCCATGGACCCTCCTCACAAGGACAACAGCAAACCAATGGGATTCACAGTAACAGGAGGGAAGGACTTGGCCATGGGACCTTCATAAGAACCCCAAGTTGTGTTTCAAAAGCTAACCTGTGGGTTCTGTGGCCCAAGTCACCAACTCAGGTGACACCACAGTAGGGTGTAGCTCTTGTCACAGCTTCATTTCTAATCAATCTTGTTCATTAAATTATTAAATTATTCCAACTTTGCAGGCTTTACAGCTCTTTTATAGCAACTGGTCATCCTTGTTGGTCAAGGGAAGGTGCCCTCACTTGATGCTGAGCTATTACCACTACCAATGTCCAAGGCACAGGTGGACTTGGGCAGTCACAGGTGATGCTGGACGACGGTGGGAGACATGATGCTACAGTGGATGCCTGGGAACAAGGCTGAGAGAAGGCTGGACATTGGGGATGCAGTCTAGTGGGTGAGGTCTGAATTCCTGAGTGGCCTTCCTCAAGCACACAGTGACAGTGGAGCGAGTGCAGGCAGCTCTTCTGGGCACCTTTGCTGAGAACCCACGTCGGGTGGACTGACACACGTACAGCTGCTACTGTCCTAGCACCCTGGTCGCAGTTAGCTCAGTTGGCCACAATCTGTGATGACAATCTTCTTGGATGGCTTTCCACTTTTAGAGCCAAAAGATTCAATTTTTTTCACGACATCCATGCCCTCTTTGACATGGCCAAACACAACATGCTTGCCATCCAGCCTGTAAAGAGAGGTGAGCAGATGAGACAGAAGTGCACGGTCACCCACGGCAAGGAAGCATTTCCTCAAAACAGCAATTCTGAAAGAAACCGCCACTGACTAGCTGGGTTCAGCCCCCCAAAGTCTTGCTTAGGTTCCCAGGTACACTCCAGAGGAGTCCAGCTTCCACAGCATGTTCTGCCATTTCACTGTGGAGTCTTGCTCCAGACCCCTCAAGCTGAGTCCTGGTAACCTCATCTAAGAAAAGTGAAGGGAGACAATAGGACATTGAACTACCTTCAATAAAAAGCCTATACAATGGATATAAAGAGCCATGAGTCAGGAGGTGAGAGTCAAGGCAACGAGTGTGGAGAGCTGTGTGAGTCCTGAACAGCTCTCAATTTCAGAGTTCTAAGAATCTAAAAAGCAGCTTGGTCCAGCTCCAGTGAAGCAGGGAATGGTGACAGCCGAGGGCAGAGCTGTAGACTCCACTGAAAGAGTGCGGCAGAGACAACAATGGCCTCCTAGCCCTGACATCCATAGCTCTCTGGTTTGGAGACAAGAGACAGTGAGACCCCACTTCCTAGGTCTCCCGGAAATCCACAGGAATGGGCTTCATCAAGTCTCAGCTCCAACCAGCTATCATCCCGCAACTCCAAATGCCCCAGGGATAGGACATAGGGAACTCCGGCAGAGAACTTTACCTTCTGGTGGGAAATTTCATCTTTAGTGGGAGCTGAGGAAAAGATATTCAAGTCCATGGACACATGGGGAGGAGGGCTCTAAGGGCTGGCAGTGCTCTGCAAGCCTATGATAATACAGTGGCTCGACAGAAAACCTGCTGTGATACTCAACTGTCCACAACAGCACATTTCAAGGTACTTCTCATGGTCAAAGGAAGCCTGGGGAATGCCGGGTTAGACCAAGCAATGGGCCTCCAGTTCAGGCCACCCTGGGGCCCAATATGTTCCACGGCATTTCCCAAGCATGCCTAGTAGAGGGACCCTTTATGTATGTGTGAGAACAAAACATGCTGAGAAAAATCCAGCCGACACTAATGACAGGAAGCCTCAATACGACAGAGTTGTAGGAATAGCCCAGATTCTGTCCTAATCCCTTCACTCACTTATCCCTCTCTCTCACACAGATACACAGCCCAAGAGAGGGCCACTGTCCTTGAATAAACAGGCCATGCAAACTGCCTTCTCCAAAAGTGCAGAAACCGTCCTCCAGCTGCAAAGTCACCCCTCATTTCTAGAGTGCCTGGAGCAGGAAACTCACCAGTCTGTCTTGATGGTGCAGATGAAGAACTGGGAGCCATTGGTATTGGGGCCTGCGTTTGCCATGGACAAGACACCTGCAAAGATAAGCAGGGGTGAGCCAGGCTGCTCCAGGGGGCATCCTATCTGGGACGTCGCTGAAACAGCAGATGGCTCAAGCACAGTAGACCCTGAGGCCTGGGTGCCTTTGCTTCCTAGGAGGTTGCACTGGGGTGGTCTGGGAGGAAAGGCCCCATGGAAGGTCTCAGTGGCAGGGCCAGAAGGGCAACCCCAGCCCTGACCTCTAGACTTTGCCACCACATTCCACCTTGGGTCTTACAGCTTATACTCTGGGGTTTTGTTCAAAGGCTTCCCCCACCAAATTCCCAAAGAAAAGTGTTTTTTAAACCGCCAGCTCAGAATGAGAAAGCTCTAGAAAAACTCAACAAAGCAGAAATGCAGAGCCACCTGGGGGCTGAAGGAAAGAATGAGGAAGCATCTTCAGATGCTGACAGCAAGGTCAGACTGCAGCCTCCCGGCCTGCTGAGCATGACAGAGTCTGGGTCTCCAGGCCAGGCGTGCCCAGCCACACGTGCACACACTGGTTGGTGGTGCTAACTGACAGGCTGATGTCACATGGGAAGCCTAGGTTCGATTCTCAGTCTACCAAAAACGCTACCTGCCGGCCTAAGATTGTTAAGCGTGTAACTAGTGTGGTCTAGTTGCGAGCATAGCAAGACCCTGTCTGAAAGCCAGTGCAGCAGTATGCACCTGTAGTCCCAGCCACTTGGGAGGCTGAGGCAGGAGGATGGTGACACGGTGAGACAGTGTCCTTAAAAAAAAAAAATAAGAAAACCTACAGGCATAGGGGAGGGGAGTGAAAGGGGAATGGCGGCTCTCATTCACCTGGTCCCACGTGCTTCAGCGTGAAGTTCTCATCAGGAAAGCGGCTTCCGTAGATGGATTTCCCCCCAGTGCCGTTGTGGTTGGTGAAGTCACCTGCCTGTGCACAGAACACGTCCTGAGCGGCTGCATGCCAGGGTGGTACTGCTCTAAGGCTGGAAGCCTGCGAGCTACCCAAGGCCCATCCGGCTGGCAGCCACTTAGACAACCGGGTCAATAAACATCCAGTGAAATGAGAACTCAAAAAATAATAAGGAAAACAAGTAAAAGTGAAGCTTAAATATTTTCTGCTACAATAACTATCTGTTTCTGTGACTTAGATTTTGTTTGAGCAAATCTTTAAGTAATCCTCAAAGGACCTAAAGGCCATTCTGAGACGATGCTTAGTGACCCAGAATTTTCAACCCACAACCCATACAGGGAGGTGGCCAGAGCCTCTGTTTCCTGGTCAGTGGGAGCAGCAGCTGCCCAGACTGGTTCCCACACAGCACTGAGTGCCCTCCCTGTCCCAGCACCTCCCTCACACCAGGCCCAGTGGTTCTCTGCACCTTGTAGGGCCAAGGCAGAGCCCACCAGGGCGAGTATCCTTCCCCAGGGCTCACCTAAGGCCCCGATAGCCCTGGCAGGTCTTCTCTGCCAGAAGAGCTCAATGGCTGCCCGTGTGTCCAGGGCTGCCCAGCCCTAGGCCCTAGTCAAGGCCAGGCTTTTTCCTAAGATAAGAGAGGAGACTTCACCAACCCAGCTGAAGCATCCACACATGCCAATACAGTGCCCCTAGACAGGGATGACTCAAGCCCCAAGCCTGGACCTCCAGGTACCACCATTTCATGCCACAGACAGTCCCCTGCTTTAGCAGTCCCTCGCCTGGCTCAGGACATTGACCTCAGCTCCTGCTTCACCCATCAGCCTCAGGTGGAGCAGCGAGCCTCTGAGGCAGAAAAGCCACAGGCTTGACCTGGCCTGTCCCACAGGCACGGCCCTGCTTGCCCCTCCCTGCATTCGGTACCTTCAATGCTCATCCAGGCTCATTCCAGTGTCAGTGGGCCCTGCCCCAACCCACTGCCACTCACCAGGTGTGACGACAGCCGCTGGGGCAGGGTGGAGGGAATGGAGGAAGGAATTCTGGGCTGAAAGGAGCTGAAAGAGGTCATGACATCCACGTTCCTTTCTCTAGGTTCTGCTGGTTCAGGACACCAAGCCCTGACCTTGAGGGTTTGCCCTAATAGAGGACACAAGTCCCCAAGACCTCTGGGAAGTTCTTGCTGCTAACACCCACCCCAAAACCTCTGGCATAGCACTACTAGTGCTTTTGAAAAACAGGCAGGACACATGACTAAACAACCTATTGATTTAACCAAGAAAAACGCCCTTCTCTGGGAAGAAGCTCCAAGCCCAGATGTGTGCACTTCTGTCTGTGCCCTGACTCCCTCTTCCTCTTCTCTCCATCTTTACTTCTCATGCCAAGCGCTCAGTAGGGACGCAGGGAACGAGGCCAAACATCATCTGAAGCTGTGGGTCCTTCAAAGCCCAAGGCCCATCCTCCTTGCACATTCACTCTCAATCCCAGTTCTCACTTGACACGCTCACCCTCTCCAACTCTGCTGTGCAGGGTCATCCTGCCACCTGCCCTGGAGCTCCACTTCTGGGGCAGGCAAGGGCCATAGCAGGTTGAACCGCAGCACTCAGGGTCAGAAGACAAGCCAACTACGTAATCGCAGCTGCTGTCTGCTCAGGACTTTCCACATTAGCATTGGGCACGTTAATCTTCATAACACCCCTATGAGGCTCCCGTTACCATCCCCAGGAAACCGAGGCATGGAGGGGGCCGCGTTACCTGGCACATGAAGGATGGGATCACCCTGTGGAAGGTCGAACCTTTGTAGCCGAAGCCCTTCTCACCAGTGCACAGGGCTCTGAAGTTCTCTGAGGGTCGAAGAGGAGGCAGGTCAGCAGGGCCAGGCCCTGGCTCGGGGACACATCCAGTCCAGCCATCTCTCTTTCTGGCCCCCAAGTAGGTGAGCAGGAAGGTGTGGAAAGACCCCAGCACACCTACTCGGTCTGCTTTGCCTGACTCACTGTGTGACTGAGATAAGTCTTTCCCTTCCTGTCCCCAGTGCTGTGCACTGTGACAAGAGCATAGACCCCTGGCTGGGCCACCACCAGGTCAGCGGGCAGGGCATCTGTGGGCTGTGTACCCACCGCATAGCTCAGGAGGGAGGAAGCTGCCTCTAAAGAATTTCATGTGGCTTACACTGGTTCTGAGGTTTCCAACTGCAGGTGGGCAGAGCCAATGCTGTGTCCCAGACAGGGACAGAGGGCTACCCAAGGGTGACCAGCAGCTGAGCCGCCAAGAAACTCCCACCCAGTCATGGGTCTCCAAGCCCTGACTCCTCTCACTGGCCCACCTGCCTTGCCCTGCCTGGGTCCCTGAAGCCTAGAACTGACCCAGTCCCTGCTTACCGGCTGTCTTTGGGACGACATCTGCCTTCAGCTGTGGGGAGAGAAGAGGGATGAAGGATGATGGTGAGCCAGAGGCTGGAAAAGGAAGGAACTTCCTCACCACACTATCTCCCACAGTAGCCAAGGAGGTGTGAGCAAGAACCAGGTGGCCATTCCACTCCTGTTACTGCCACCCCTGCAGGAGGTGGCTTAAGCAACTATCACTTCTGGCAGCTGTTTCCTGAACCCAAGGCTGGGAGGAGGCAGCCTCCGTTTCCCAATCTGTCAGAAGAGATGACAATGCCATCCTGGCTTACTTCCTGGCGCAGAACTGGCAAAACTCCTACAGCTAGGTCCAAAGCACAAGACACCCAAAGGCCTAGAGAGACCGCCCTGGGGAGGGGCCAGCCCAAGTCCTCAGGGCATAGGTGGGAAACCCAGGTCCAGAGAAAGGCAATAGGATTGGGGTAAGAGGAGGCCGGAGCCTCATCTAAGCTGGTCTTTGGATTCTCAGCTTTGGGAGTCACTCTGTACCAAACTGAAGCAGGAAGGCTGCTCCCCATTTTCCAGGAGAGGAAGGTGAGGCTTAACAACAAATGCCAGGGCTCTCTGGGAAACCCTAATAAGCCCCTTTGTGAAAACTAGGACACGGCTTGAAGACTACACTAGGGGTCCCTCCTGGGAACTCGGCTGTTTTTTCTTACTTTTCTTTTAAAAAAATCCCCTCAGTGCTGCCCCCCAGCCCCGCCCCGCCGTACCCCGAGGGTGTCTGGGGCTGCGAGGAGGATAAGATTCTGGCACAGTGCCCAACGTGGGGGGGGAGGGCTAGGGGTGAAGGAGCATCCCGGGGTCTGCCTGGTGTCACCCCAAGTATTTCCAATTCATTCCTCAGTGCCCCAGTGAGCTGGCTCGTCAGCCAGGGTACTCTGGCTGTTAAGTAAGAGACACCACGTGAGCTCCCGGGGCTGGGCCCGCCGCTCGGACCCGGAGTCCCCAGCCAGGAGTCTCCAGCCACACACCGCACTTCGGAGCTCCAGAATTCTAGGGTCTAGGCTCAGCCCCAGGGGGTTCCGGAAACCCCTCCCCCCATTCTCAGATTAGCGGGTGTGGCCTTGAGCCCGCACTCTCTGAGATCTGACCTTGAGCCTCTGCTCCACACGTCTCCTCCCTCCCGCCTCCACTACTCCAAAGTTCCCAGGGAGGCCGAAAGACACCAATCTGACGCCCCTTCTCAAAGACGAGGAAACTGAGGCCCAGAGTCCGGGTGTAGGAGGCCCAAGGTCACCCAGCGCGCCCGGCCCTACGCCGGGCAGGGGCCCAGGGCTCTCTCAGGACCGCCCCCAGGCTCAGGCCGGCCCTGTCTGGTGGAGTGTCTCACCTCTAGCACCACGCGGCCGAGCGGCTGCCCGTCGGCGTCCACGTCCAGGTACACTAGCGGGTTCCGGGAGGAAGAGGATGGGTCGCGGGAGCCGCCGCCGCTGGAGGCACGCACCGCGGAGAGACGCTGCGGCGCAGAGCGCGGGACAGAGAGCAGGCCAAGGACGCGAGAGCCACAGCGCAGCGCCAGCATCGCGGGCGCGGGTCGGGAGGAGACAAGCTGGGAAGCAGAGGCCAGGAGGCAGCGCCAGCATCGCGGGCGCGGGTCGGGAGGAGACAAGCTGGGAAGCAGAGGCCAGGAGAGCGAGGCTCGTGCGCGCCCAGCAGGCGGAGTCGGGGGCTGCCTGCGCGCCCGCGCCTCCGCCCCGCCCCCTGTGGCTGTCCGCGAGCGACCCCTGCTGGCTGCAGGTGGCAGCGCGGCCATCTAGTGGGGCCAGGGAGAACGAAGTCTTGAAGACATCCCCACGTTGACCAGAGACCAGGAGGAAGGAAGAAATGAATAAGCACCCATATATTTTCATTGAATATAACAACAAAATTTACCTTTGAGCCCTGTAAGACTCATGCCAAAAGGCATCCCTGCCGCCTCCCCCCATAGGCCCTGCAGACAGATGGACTACAAGGCAAGGTGGCATTGAGAGTCATCAGCAAAAGGTGGAGATGAGATCAGAGGCAGGACTGGAAAGAGAAGCCTGGGAAGAAGGAGATAAACAGAGACACCTCACACAGTGAGAAGAGACCTCCTGGTTCTGGCCTGAGCCTGTCTCTAGTTGCTTCTAGAGAGCAGACTCTTCCAGGTAGACTGGTACCACAGCTTGGGACTATTGTGTTCCTACCAGGTCGCCACGGGACAAGATCTGGCCCCACAGGCTGACAGCCCTGATCCCCCACCAGCCAGGCCAGGAGGGTGCTGTTTCTTCTCCCACCAACGTTCATCCTGGAACAGATCTCCCAGCCTGGGAGGCAGTGGGAGGCCCACAGGAAACGAATACTTGGCCGGGAACTTGAGAGACCACCTGGCTAACACCTGTACTCTTCAGATGGGAGCTGAGGCCAGAGAGATGAAGGCACTGGCTAGAGAAGCCTGGAGTCCCTGTGCCGGTCCTCTCAGACCTCTCTGGGTCTCAGATTCCCATCTGGAAAGTGAGGGTGGGAGGACAACCCTTGCTCTGAGAGAAGAATTTTTCACCTGCTAAGTACTGTGCCCATGAGCATCAGTGATGGACAGAGTCTAGGCTGTCTTTGCTTGGGGTTTAGGTTTCAGAGGGCTATGGGGTTCAGTTGCAGGAGCTCAGAGAAGGGGCCGGGGGCTGAGCTTTGGAGGCAGGTGGACTTGGGAGCAGCTCTGGACCCTGCTGCCCCAGATCCTGAAGCACTTCTTGGAAAGGGGCCAGGCAGCAAAATGTTAGTCCAAGCGAATTCATGAGGAGCAGTGTCTAGCTTCCTGAAGTGCTAGCTTGGCCCCATTTCTGGATGGTCACAATCCCCGTCTCTGTATTCCTGACCCAGGAGGGGCCTGGGCACTCAACGAAGTCCCGATGGGATGCACTCCATGTCCTGGCTCAGGACGGGGTACTCTGCTGGGAACAGCCCTTCCTTTCTCCTTAGGTGCCAGGAGCAGGCCTAGGTGGGGAGCCCCTTTGGCCCCTGCCCCACTCAGGCCCTTGGCTTATCGCTCAGATCCCTCCAATACCTCTGGATACTGTAGATTTGAGAGTGAAGGGGAGGAATCCCCTCATATACCTGGTAATGAAGCATCCTAAAATCTCAGGGCATCCTGTAGCCAGTTCCAAGCCCTCATCTCACACAGCATCAGCCACACCTAGTGGGTCAGTGGTACTCTGCAGTCCCTCGAGCCGCGTTTACTCTGATGAAGTCTGTGCAGCCTTGCTCAAGAGAAGAGCTGCCTTCGTTCACTCAACCACTTCCCTTCTGGAAACCCCAGCTCCTCGGGGCTCTACCACAGCCTGAGAGGCAGTGCCATTTTACAGATGAGGAAGCGAGTTCCCAAGAACTGGGATGTGACCTGCCCAAAGTGAGAATCAGTTGTGGCCCGGGCTGGCTCCGCTGCCCCGCCTCCGCCCCGCCCCCTGTGGCTGTCCGCGAGCGACCCCTGCTGGCTGCAGGTGGCAGCGCGGCCATCTAGTGGGGCCAGGGAGAACGAAGTCTTGAAGACATCCCCACGTTGACCAGAGACCAGGAGGAAGGAAGAAATGAATAAGCACCCATATATTTTCATTGAATATAACAACAAAATTTACCTTTGAGCCCTGTAAGACTCATGCCAAAAGGCATCCCTGCCGCCTCCCCCCATAGGCCCTGCAGACAGATGGACTACAAGGCAAGGTGGCATTGAGAGTCATCAGCAAAAGGTGGAGATGAGATCAGAGGCAGGACTGGAAAGAGAAGCCTGGGAAGAAGGAGATAAACAGAGACACCTCACACAGTGAGAAGAGACCTCCTGGTTCTGGCCTGAGCCTGTCTCTAGTTGCTTCTAGAGAGCAGACTCTTCCAGGTAGACTGGTACCACAGCTTGGGACTATTGTGTTCCTACCAGGTCGCCACGGGACAAGATCTGGCCCCACAGGCTGACAGCCCTGATCCCCCACCAGCCAGGCCAGGAGGGTGCTGTTTCTTCTCCCACCAACGTTCATCCTGGAACAGATCTCCCAGCCTGGGAGGCAGTGGGAGGCCCACAGGAAACGAATACTTGGCCGGGAACTTGAGAGACCACCTGGCTAACACCTGTACTCTTCAGATGGGAGCTGAGGCCAGAGAGATGAAGGCACTGGCTAGAGAAGCCTGGAGTCCCTGTGCCGGTCCTCTCAGACCTCTCTGGGTCTCAGATTCCCATCTGGAAAGTGAGGGTGGGAGGACAACCCTTGCTCTGAGAGAAGAATTTTTCACCTGCTAAGTACTGTGCCCATGAGCATCAGTGATGGACAGAGTCTAGGCTGTCTTTGCTTGGGGTTTAGGTTTCAGAGGGCTATGGGGTTCAGTTGCAGGAGCTCAGAGAAGGGGCCGGGGGCTGAGCTTTGGAGGCAGGTGGACTTGGGAGCAGCTCTGGACCCTGCTGCCCCAGATCCTGAAGCACTTCTTGGAAAGGGGCCAGGCAGCAAAATGTTAGTCCAAGCGAATTCATGAGGAGCAGTGTCTAGCTTCCTGAAGTGCTAGCTTGGCCCCATTTCTGGATGGTCACAATCCCCGTCTCTGTATTCCTGACCCAGGAGGGGCCTGGGCACTCAACGAAGTCCCGATGGGATGCACTCCATGTCCTGGCTCAGGACGGGGTACTCTGCTGGGAACAGCCCTTCCTTTCTCCTTAGGTGCCAGGAGCAGGCCTAGGTGGGGAGCCCCTTTGGCCCCTGCCCCACTCAGGCCCTTGGCTTATCGCTCAGATCCCTCCAATACCTCTGGATACTGTAGATTTGAGAGTGAAGGGGAGGAATCCCCTCATATACCTGGTAATGAAGCATCCTAAAATCTCAGGGCATCCTGTAGCCAGTTCCAAGCCCTCATCTCACACAGCATCAGCCACACCTAGTGGGTCAGTGGTACTCTGCAGTCCCTCGAGCCGCGTTTACTCTGATGAAGTCTGTGCAGCCTTGCTCAAGAGAAGAGCTGCCTTCGTTCACTCAACCACTTCCCTTCTGGAAACCCCAGCTCCTCGGGGCTCTACCACAGCCTGAGAGGCAGTGCCATTTTACAGATGAGGAAGCGAGTTCCCAAGAACTGGGATGTGACCTGCCCAAAGTGAGAATCAGTTGATCTGACTTCCAAATCAGGGTTATTGCATGTAAAATCTCCTTACTGTCACCAAGGGTCAGGACGAAGGATCCAAGAGAGATCAGCCATGGGCAGACAACACAGCAAGGTGGAAACTGAGGAGTCGGCCAGGGTTATGGCAATCAGGGGACAGGGAGATGGTTTCTGCCTGCCATCAGCCTGGACATGACTGTGGCTGAGGGATACAGGCGCCATGATGTGAGGGTATGATTTCGGGAGGGGAATTATCACCTCTCCAGAGATCAGGGCACTTTTAAGGAAAGACTGTGATCTTGACCATGAGCTGAAAGGTTTATGGGGGCTCAATCACAGCGTGTCTGGAGACCAGCCTGATGTCTGACATTGCTGGATAGCACTGGGGAGTCACTGAGGGTACAGTGTCCCCACCTTTGAACTTGGAACTAGCTTCTTTCATTCATTTTACTCTGGAAAAAATCAAACATCATCACTACCTTCTGTCTGAGCCAGAGAAAAGCTCCACTTCCCCACTGGCTCAGCCATGATGTCACTCCTATCTGTGCTGTTCTCAGTCCCTAGGGGAAGCTACAAGCTGAACGCATGCCCAGCCCTTGAGGACCCTGAGCACAGGTGAGATCAGGCAGGTGTCAGCATGCCCCTGGCTCTGAGGCTATGTATAGACTCTGTGTCATCCTTAGAAACAGCTCAGTGGCTTCTTATCCAGGACACTAATGGGTTTTGTCACCTGGGAATCTGTAATCCCGCCTTTAGGCCTCACAGAGCCAATGAACAATCAGGTTGTGCTGGGCTCAGAGTCACATCCAGGTGTTGCAAGTTCCCATGCCTGTGGAGGCCAGGCAGGTGACTGAGTGAGAGAGGCGAGGGGGTAAGGATGGGGAGTGAGGGGGTAGCACTACAGTCTGGTGGCTAGCACATGCCCAAGTTAAGGGGGGTGAGTTGTCATGAAGGCCAAGATCATTGTCATTGTCAGTCACTGGGTGATACAACCTGGGCTGCTGCCTGGACAGTGGTCCTTAGAGGGCAACCTTCATTGTTCTTGGTCCCATCTAAAGAGCCTGGGGGACCAGAAGAGCACCTGTTATGGGCAGCTAACAGGGAGCCCAAGAAACGGGTTCCCCTCGGGAGAACTCAGAAAGTGAGCCAGACCCAACTCGCAGGCTGCATGAAGGCTGTGCCTCTGGTGTGCCTGTGGCATCCCCGCCTTCACCAAGTTAGAATGAATGCATCAGCCTGTCTCTGTGGCTTCCAGGGCCCTTTGGGGGGCGTGGCCTCTCTGAACCTGTCCTGATGGGAAGCAGGGAGGGCAAGGGGGGAAGGTTTGCCCTGAGGCCCAGGGCAGCATGGCAAGGCAGAGCTGGGCAGGGTGTGGCTGCCTGGCTTAAGCACAACTAGCCCAGCGGCAGCCTCCCACAACCCATAAACTCCACTCACGCTCTAGGTTTATCTGTTTGTTCTCTGTAATCTGAGTGCCAGCGCTGAGGAAGGCTTCCTGTGAAACTGCCACGAGAGGGGAGAGTTTAGGAGGGCTGTGGGGGCAGTCCTAGGAAGGGGC